GCTTACGATCGCTATGTGGCCATTTGTAACCCTCTTCTGTATATGGTGGTTATGTCCCAGAAGGTATGTCTACGGCTTGTAATGGGTCCCTACTTTTACAGCTTTGTGGTTGCTTTGCTCCACACAGTAGTTACTTTCCAACTGATTTATTGTGGTCCTAATGTAATCAATCATTTTTATTGTGATGATGTCCCTTTGATGGCTCTTGCCTGCTCTGACACCAGCCTCAAGGAGATTCTGATATTCATCTTTGCTGGATTCAACATGATCAGTTCTTTGGCTACTGTCCTGATTTCTTACTTATACATTGTGGCTGCCATCTTGAGAATCCAGTCCACAGAAGGCAGGTGCAAAGCCTTCTCGACATGTGCTTCCCATCTCACGGCTGTGACAATATTCTATGGAACACTCATCTTCATGTACCTGCAACCAAAATCAAGCCATTCACTCGACACAGACAAAATGGCCTCAGTGTTTTACACAATTGTCATCCCCATGCTCAATCCCATGATCTACAGCTTAAGGAACCAAGAGGTAAAGAATGCTCTGAGGAAAGTCCTTGAAAAATGCTATGTAGTACCTCTAAGACACCTCAAGAAAGGAATTTCCTGATCAGGACCAATGTAATATACAGACATGTCCTATGTAGCTCTGAAATAAATTCATTTTTATCATACTTCTGAGGAATAAAGTCCTTCCATTTGCTATGTACATGTTAGAGTTCTCAAACATTACAAACACAATAGAAGATCATCAGAAGTAGACAGATTAATGATAGAAGATATACAGATAGAAGATAGATAGATAGATAGATAGATAGATAGATAGATAGATAGATAGATAGATAGATAGTTTTCTCGGATATTATTGAGACAATAAAATACTTTCCATACAAGCATGAGGTCCTGACTTTGAATCTAAAATTCCCACCTAAATTTTAACATGATAATGGACATCTATAGTCTCAGTACTCCTATGGGAAGATTGGAGTCTGGGACAGAAGATCCAAGAAGTTTATAAGCCAACTAACATGATGTGGACAATGATGAAAAGTAGGAAATGTTGTCTCAAACAAGATAGGAGGTGACAGCCAACAACAAAGATTGTTCTCCGACGTCCACAGAGACATAATGGCACAGGTGTGCCTCTGCTAACACAAGAACACACACACACATTAGATTTTTTTTTCAAAAGACACTAATTTAGCTCTGATGTCACTGAAAAGAAAGTTCCTACACAGTTGGTATATCTAGCTTTGGCTTTCTACTTTCTTTTCTGTTCAATACATTTAGTAAAAGATTAGCAGTTAAACCAAAGATGTGATATTTTAGGAAAAACTTTTAAAATTTACTTGTTTTTGCTAGTAAGTATTTTTTCTACTCTTATTTAAGTTTGTCATGTGCATATCTGGTATGTTTAAAAGCTAGAAGACGGTGTCAGATTCCCTAAATCACTAGTTGGCGCTGAGTCTCTAACCAAGTTCCTATGTAAGGGAAGCAAGTATTCCTAACTATTTGAGCTATCTCTCCAAGCCTGTGGATATCTCATGATCCCATGTAACTCCTTGCACTTTATCTGGACCATGTATGCTAGTCACCACTTTTCACTGTATCTTTTACAAACACAATAGTTGTGACTTTCTGAAATTACTTTCTGTCACAGTTAAGGCTATGTGTCAAGAGGACTACACAATGTTGCCAATTCCTTATCTCAAGATGTATCCATGAGGGTGTTTCTAGAAGAGGTTAGCACTTAAAATCAACAGAGAAAGCCATCTCACTAATGTGGCCAGGCATAACCTGATCTGTCTAAGACACAAACAAAACAGAAAATGTAGTGATTGGGTGATTTTCTTCCTTGCTTCTTTGAGCTGAAGTGCCTGTCTCCCCTCAGACACCAGATAATGGTTTTCAAACCTTTAGATCCTGAGACTTATGTCAGCTCATCCTCATCGGGGTCAATTTGCAAGCCTTCAGCCTAAGGCTGGAAGACTTTTGAGTTCACAGGATATTCAGCACATTTTGAATTAAATCATCTACCAATGCATATTTTTCTTTGCAAGTATTTTGGAATATTTAAGCCAACAGTCACATGTGGGAATGCTTACAATCTAGCTGCCTGTCTGTCTGTCTGTCTATCTATCTATCTATCTATCTATCTATCTATCTGTCTGTCTGTCTGTCTGTCTGTCTGTCTGTCTATCTATCTATCTATCTATCTATCTATCTGTCTGTCTGTCTGTCTATCATCATGTATCATCTTTCATTTTATGCAATCCCTTTAGGTTTATCAGTCTAGCAAAACATTCATGGAACCAGTTGACAAGCTGACATTTTCATTGTGGAAATCAAAAAACCAGTTTCTGGAGACTATTTCTTTCTCTTACCTATCTCAAGAAATACTGAAGACTTATGTCTCAATTACCCAAGCAAAGAGTGATTTCAAAATATTTTTTCAGTTCTTGAAAAAGTGAAGATATTGGAATAGAGTAGATGTAAAATGGAGTCTCTTAAATCTTAGTAGCCAAAATTGTCACTATCAAGAATCTAAGGGTAGAGATCTGTCTGGGAGGAGTCAAAGGAAAGTAGTCCAACACTTCATTAAACACATGATGAGGTAGCTCACATTTGTGAAAATTGAATAATCCCTGCCTTCTAGGAATAATATTATCCACCAAGAAGGGGATCTGTGTAGAAATGATATGTTTAAAATTATACTTTTAATTACTTTTAAAACTAGTAGGTCTTAATAGGCTTGCCCTGCCCATATATATATTAAGTTTTGCTTAATCCACCACTTATCTTCTCCTGTTCCTCACCTCCCTGTCTCCCTTCCCCATAAACATTTAAACACAATATCTCCCTGACCTCTTTCTTTCGTATCTCAAGGACTCTACTATCTCCTCCAAATATATTAAAATTGTGTTTCAAGAGAACAAGCTTTCATAATATATTTTATGTATGTCCTTCATTTTGATTAGCCATCTTTAATTCTGCCTCTTCATTTTCCCATACACTATGCCTGCTTCCATGGTTATCTACTCCCAAAAGTCCCTTTTTTTATTTTCATTTTACCTCTTTTTTATAAGCAGGTATTCTAATGAGTACTGTTTATAGTTTCTTAGTTTTCAAATACGCTCATGTTAAACACACAAAGCAGTAGATTTGAAATTAGAATCCACCTACACGTGAAAGAAAACATGCAGTATTTGCCTTAGTGCATCTGGATTGTGTCTCTCAGTGTCTTAGGTTATGTTTCAAAAGGCATTATGTTAGGTATTCATCGTTGAAAAATGTATGGGCTTAAGTCATTCTAACCATTTGAAAACTTCATTCATTCAAGGAAATAAGTGGTAACTCAAAAGGGACATAAAGCATAACCTGTTTCTCTCCCCCTTGATCCTGCCTCCAACCCTCCTTCTGTACCCACTCCAGCCAACAGGCTCCTTCTAGTTCCCATCCCGCCCTTCCCCCAAACCCTGCCCCAGTTTACCTAGGAGATCTTTTCTACTTTCCATTCCCAAGGAAATCTGTGCATTTCTCTTTAGGCCCTCCTAGTTATCTATCCTGTTTCGGGTCTAGGGAGAAACCTGGTGCCAGGGAAACCTCAGGAACCCAAAAGGATGATTCCCAACTAAGACTCTAGCAATAGTGGAGAAGGTGCCTGAATTGGTCATCAACTGTAAGCACATTGGTGATTTTCCTAATTGCTATCAGATATACTCTATTAGTAACTGATAGAAGCAGAGGCAGAGATCCACAGATAAGCACTGCATTGAGCTCCAAGCATCTTACTGAAGAAATTGTAAAGGAATTATACCAGTTAATTCAGGGTTTGGAATGCAACATATTACTAGCATGAAGGGTTGGAAACAACAACGCAAGGTGTGACATCATCATACTCTACATCTAAAAGTCAGAGGAACATATAACAGAATGTTTCCTTTATTGCCCTTTGGTTTGGTGAAGATAAGAAAGTCTTTTGTACAAGACATTTTGTCATTTAACCGAGAATTCAAACACATGAAAAAGCAAATTACAGAAATACAAACAGCATTAGCTAGGCAAAGTAGATATTGAAGGAGAACCTTAGATTATACTATGATAGTTACAAATTCTCAATGCAGTTTCACTGGTAAAATTTCACTTGTATATGAAAGTTTTGTGATAAACTTTTTGTATCAAGATCATCAGACTTATACACTCCTTGGAAATAAATGAGTTCTGATATTTCTGTTGGAACTATAGGTTTTATAGTGAAGATAAATGAGGTTAACAAAAGCCTTAAGAGGTAACCTTCAACTCCAGTACGGATCCCTCAATCAAAATATCTCTTTCCTTGCTCTCATCTCTGTCCTTCCTCCATCTCAACTATCCTGTTCCATCAAGTTCTCCTCCCTCCTCCCCTTCTCCCTTCTCTTTCCCTTCCCACCCTCTCCTCTCCACCCACCCCAAGAAGGACTTATCCCTACTTCTTGTACTGGTTTCTAGGGAACGTTTTCTCTTTGGACGGATGCTTTGCTCAGCCTAGACATAGTAGGGAGGGACTTTGACCTTCCCCAAAGTAGTGTGCCTTACCCTCTCTGGGGAATGGGGGGGGGCAATAGTTGGAGGGAATGTGAGAAGGGGAGGAAGAGTGAACTAGGACTCCTGTGTAAAATGAAAAAAAAAGATAGTTTGTTTTCTTTTTAAAAAGAAAAATAAAACAAAAACAACTTGAGTATGGGACTTCCACATTAACATTTCTTAGCAAAACCTATTGGTGATTACCTCCAATAATTGAATTAATACAAGTTCTTAAATAATATATGTTTTCATAACATGGTTGAGTATGTAAGAGAAAACATGCTTATTAAGAGACAATCATGTTGCAAAGTGATATACAGACTCTGGATCTTAGAGTCTATGTAAGGGTTGTTCATTGAAAAGTTTCAACCTAAGGATTTTGTGCTTGATCATACACATTTGTATTACGAAGCCTATAAAATATCTGCTTCTCTGTCATTTTCTCAAGTTTGCCTTGGCGATTGCCTTGCTGACGGCTTCTTTCACATCTTTGTTCCTGAGACTGTATATCATCGGGTTCAGCATGGGAATCACAGTAGTATAAAACACAGCCACCATCTTTCCCTGCTCCACAGACTCCTCTGTGGGTCTTCTGAGATACATGAATATAAGGGTTCCATAAAACATGGAAACAGCTGTCAAGTGTGATCCACAGGTGGAGAACGCCTTTTTCCTGCCGTCAGCAGAGCGCATGCGCAACACCGCGACCACAATGAGCGAATATGATATGAGAACTACTGACAGGGAATACGTGAAGTTAATCCCGGCAATAACAATCATCGTGTACTCTTTAATATACACTCCTCCGCAGGCAATCTTGATAAGAGGAGGATCCGCACAATAGAAGTGGTTGATTTCGAAGTTTTCACAGAAGTATAAACCGTAAGTCCACAGAGTACAAATAAGACTCACTGAGAATCCGTAGACATAAGGCACAGAAATGAGGCGGACACAGACAACCCTGGACATCTTGCTGCTATACAGCAAAGGGTTGCAGATAGCCATGTAGCGATCGAAGGCCATCACAGCCAGGATGTAGACCTCCACGTGGACCAGGGCAATGAAAAAGTAGCACTGGATCAGGCACCCCACGTAAGAAATTGTTTTTCTTTCTGATAATAAGTTTTCCAGCATTTTGGGGGTAACATTGGAAGAGAACAACACATCCACAAAGGACAAATGACTTAGAAAAAAGTACATAGGACTCTGAAGCGGAGGGCTGATGCTGATCAAAATTATCATACCAACGTTGCCCAGCAGCGTGACCATGTAAACCACCAAGAACACCGCAAAAAAGAGTACCTGTAACTCCTGGCGCCTTGTTAAGCCCACAAGAAGGAATTCTGTTACATCTGTAAAATTTGGCATTGCCTTAATATAGAGTCTGTGCTTCCTGCAAAGAAAAACATTTATAAATACATTTTTTATTCTTAAAAGTTTTATTTAAATTTTTCTTATCCTTAGTATACACTTTAAAAAACAGGCAGTTTTTTTCCCCATGTGTCTACTGTTAGAATTAAATAGACTATATGTAAAATGGTTTGCTTGATTGTGTAACAGAAAAGGTTCTAAATTTTCAAATCTGATACGGGGTAGTCTGGTACAAACATCAAGGATTTTATTTAATCTATAGTTAGGAAATTTTATAGGTTATAAATTGTTAAAATAATGGAAGATGCAGAAACTCCAAGATCAAGTTTTCCATAGTGATGATTTATTATGTGATTAGTCCCTAGTTTGCATGTCATCATAAATAATCATTCTTATAATGAAAATTGACGTGTGGTCACTGAAAGTGTAATGAATTTCTGCTAATAAAGTAAATTGTAGTAATTTGAAAATCAGTTTTAATTAATACTGTTCATGTGAAAATCTTTTACAATAGGAGGGAGGGGAAACAAGTCAGGATGTATTTAGTGTGAGATGAATAAATAAAATTAAAAAGAGTTGAATATTACCTCTTAGGATAATTATTATCCAAATCTTTCCTCATTGTAGAATTTGTAAAATCTATAGCTTCAACATAAATAACAAAATCAGAATTTATTTATTTCTACACTCATTTTTAGGAGCATAGAAATTTGATGATTTTGATATTCAAAACATATGGTGGAATGTTCATATACAATTTGTATCGGTGAAAGTGCATTGAGAATATACAAGCATCTTTATAGCCTGAAGTTTTCTCAGTTTATAAAATACAGCTGAAGTCATGGACACTTCTATGTAAAAAACTTGACTTCTTAAAGTAAATAATGCATATTTTCTTATTATACTTTAATTTGCAGTTCTTACAAATGGTATGTCAGTTTTACATATAAAAACATAAACTACAGCATTAAGGCATTTAAGACACATACACTAAAACTAAATCAATTTTTCAGTCATGATCAAATGTGTGCTCTGTCAGTACGTGTAATTACAACTCTGTCTTAACAGGTAACTCTTGATTGTGGAATTCCTTCGACTGCCTAATATATACATATAATTGCAAATACATATGACACAAGACCAGATTTAGAATAATTGTATAATTAGCCAATTATTTTTTCCATGAATAATTCTGTAAAAGGTTTCTGTCTCATTGTCTGTTTTATAAATTGGAAGAAGTTAGAGAGTTAGAAGATCTCCTTGGGTCAAATGCCTACTGTCTGGCAGGATCATGCTGCTAAGCTGTTAATTTGGTACCTTCTTGTGATTTTAATAAGCTCTTTTCAAATGTATTTGATAACTGAGCCTAGCAATATTTTAATGTTAACTGACATTTATTGTTGGTTATTCTCCAAGACAGAAACAAATCAATCAATTTCCAGTTAAGTTTCTATGAATTAATTTGGATTTCTGTAACCCCAGAGATGTCTAGACAAAAAGTCATTACTTCTTTATTCTGTCCTAAATTCTGAGGAACTCTCAAACATATGATCAGGTGACCCGTGACTCATCAATTTATTACATAAATGAATATCATATACCAAAAGAGTAGAATGTGCAATTTACAGACAAGAAAATTTGATTGTACTAACATTGTATTTTCTCAAAAAGATAAACAATAAAATTATACATAAATGGATTAGTTAATCATATCAATTCCCAAATTCATTCATGCATATTTAAAAAAATAAGTAGTCCAATAAATTCCATTGTTAACAAATAATTTAGTGAAAATGGTATTGATTTTTCTTTTAAAGTGGAACGAAGTATTACTATGTTCAGCTATCAATCCACACTGCAACTATCCTAAAACATGCAGACATACCTTGAAGGCAGAAGAGAACAAGAAATGGTCATTTCTCACTATTTATGATATCATTTTGCTCATTAAGAACACTGAGGTAATCTCCCAAAGGTACTTCCAAAATAATTACGAAAGTAATCGTGGCTGAAACACTAGCAACATCTCCTGGGTGGAAGTTGAGTAAACTTGATAAAATAACAGTTCTCAAAACTGAGATCAATATTCTTGACATTGTCTCATTTGTTTCCCACTGGCACAAGGTTCTGCCCACTTTCCTCTGCAAAATGTCAATTCCAGATTCAAATCATATGTGTGAGGAGAGATGATTTCAACAGTGCCTGCTAGATTCTTCTTTGTGTCAATTTCAGATGTCAAAGGGGTCAGGGTTCAAAGTGTAAGCTACTTGTCAGAATTTGGATGGATGGATGGATGGAACTACACAGTAAATTAGGAAATGAACTATAAAGTTCATCTGTAATCAAACTACTGTGTCAATATGCTATGTGAATTTGTGCAAATGTTCCACCTTTGATTGTTTTGTTTATAAAGAATAGAAAAGGTTTTCATAGTGTGAGTGTGGGATCTCAGGTAGCATAGGAGAACCACCTCACTAAACATCAATTGCATATGAAGAATTAAAACGTATATAATTATTTGTGTGATCTAACTTTAACATATTTCAGTATCTGACTTTCTTTATGGGTTTGGGATTAGTGTTAACCTCAGACTGAAGAAAATATGCACATGTAAAATAACTGTGAGGGAATATCTCTAAATCCAGTTCAGACAGCTGACAAGTCCATTAAATCTCAACTGTATTCTTCATCAGTTTTGTTTGCTAAGTTGAAAACAGAACTGTACTCAGGCAAATTCTCCTCTGCATACTTCAACATCAAAGAACCCAGTTGTCCTAAATTTCTTCATACCTATTATGAAGAAAGTTCATGATAGGAACACCTTTGGGCAAGAAATTTATGAATTAATACACAAGAGCTCCAGAAAACAAAGCTGTATCTTTCTATACCAAAACAAAGTTGATTTTCTAAGAATATGAATTTTAATAGAATAAGTTGAAAAATTTCTGCACATCCTTGCTCACAAAAACATATATCTTTATTTGACAGATTCCAATATAATTGATAAAACACAGAGTATTCTGAATAAATTTTCATTCAAATGCAAAAATTAACTAAAATATTATGGTGCCTTATACAAACAAAATAATTTAGAGAAATGCCAGCTTAACTCTATAAGTTAACTCAAGAGAACATATTTTACAGAGGTACATCTCCTTTCAAATTTTCTCTTTGGTCAGTATAAACGTTATTCATATAAGAAACATGAGAACTGAAATATGTGGCCACATGAATATTACAATTGGAAGGATGGGATAAGAGTGAGAAGTCTATTATGTCTAAAAATAAATGTAAAAGTAAATAATTGTAAAATAAAATACAAAGGCCATGTTTTTATTATGAAAATCATAGTAATTTAATGAATTACCCCCTTTACATTCAAAGAAACTATGAAATAAAACTATCAAATAAGCATAAGAAAGAAAGACAGACTCGTGTTCTTAGGCTCATAATTTAAACTTGATATTTCATGTCTCCTACAATCAATTTCTAATTAGATAAAAACACTCTTAGATTACAGCGCTACAGTAATGAAAACAGCCTGGTATTGAGATAAAAACAGAGATGTTGACCAATGGAATCTAATTGAAGACCCAGATCTTAATCCACAAACCTATGAACACCTAATTTTCGACAAAGGAGCTAAAATTATACAATGGAAGAAAGAAAGCATCTTTAACAAATGGTGCTGACATAACTGGATGTCAACCTGTAGAAGAATGAAAGTATATCCCTATCTATCACCATGCACAAAACTCAAGTCCAAATGGTTTAAAGACCTCAATAAAATCTGACCACACTGAACCTGATAGAAGAGAAAGTGGGAAGTAGTCTTCAACACATGGGCACAGGAGACCACTTCCTATGTAGAACCACAGTAGCACAGACAATAAGAGCAACAATGAATAAATGGGACCTCTTGAAACTGAGAAGCTTCTGTAAAGCAAAGGACACTGTCACTAAGACAAAAAGGCATCCTATCGAATGGGAGAAGATCTTCACCAACCCCGCATCAGACAAAGGTCTGATCTCCAAAATATATTAAGAACTCAAGAAACTAGACCTTAAAACTCTAATTAACCCAATTAAAAATGGGGTACTGAACTGAACAGAGAATTCTCAACAGAAGAAGTTCAAATGGCCAAAAGACACTTAAGGTCATGTTCAACCTCCTTAGAGATCAGGGAAATGCAAATCAAAACAACTTTGAGATACCATCTTACATCTGTCAGAATGGCTAAAATCAAAAACACCAATGATAGCCTATGCTGGAGAGGATGTGGAGTAACGGGAACTCTCATCCATTGCCTGTGGGAATGCAAACTTGTGCAACCACTTTGGAAGTTAGTGTGGCGGTTTCTCAGGAAACTGGGAGTCAACCTACCTCAAATTCAGCAATTCCACTCTTGGGAAACATCTAGATAAGAAGAGCTTACTCTAATTCTGGCAGAGCATATTTCCAAGCCTTGTATTTTTCCTTTCTACCCATAAAGAGTATGAAGATACCTGTCCTCATGTTTGAGATAATAACCTGCTTTCCCTGACAAATAATAGAAAACAAAATAAGAGAAGTTTTATTTTATTTTGTTAAGAATTTCCTGCTAATCACTTTGTCCAGGGCTTCCTTGACATCCTTGTTCCTCAGACTGTAGATCATGGGGTTCAACATGGGGATCACTGTGGTATAGAACACAGCCACCATCTTTCCTTGTTCCACTGACTCTTCAGTAGGTCGTTGGAGATACATAAAAATGAGGGTACCATAAAATACACCAACTGCGGTGAGATGAGACCCACAGGTGGAAAATGCCTTGCGCCTGCCTTCTGCTGAGCGCATTCTGAGAATGGCAACGAGAATGAACAAATAGGAGATGATGACAACAATCAAGGAATATGTGAAGTTAATACCAGCCAGAAAAAGCATTGTATACTCCTTTACAAAAGTCCCTGCGCAGGCCATCTTGATGAGAGGGGGGTCGGCACAATAGAAGTGGTTGATCTCAGTTTTCCCACAGAAGTACAAACCGTGAGTCCATAGTGTTGCAGCCAGACTGGTCAGAAATCCATATATGTAGGGGAAAGAAATGAGTCGAATGCAAACCACCCTCGACATTTTGCTACCATAGAGCAGGGGCTTCCCAATTGCCATGTACCTGTCAAAAGCCATCACAGAGAGAATGAAGATTTCCACGTGCACAAGGGCAATGAAGAAGAAGCACTGTGTCAAGCAGCCTGTGTAAGAAATTGTTTTTCTCGTTGACAGCAAGTTTTCCAGCATTTTAGGAGTGACATTGGAAGAAAACCACACATCCACAAATGACAAATGGCTGAGGAAAAAATACATCGGGCTGCTAAGCTGTGGACTGATCTTAATTAATATCATCATGCCGATATTTCCCACCATGGTAACAAGATAGACCACAAGAAAGATAATAAAAAAGGCCACCTGTAGTTCCTTTTGACTGGTTAAGCCCAACAGAATAAATTCAGTCACATCTGTGAAATTGAGCATCTTCTCACGTCTGTCAATATGAGGTATAAGTCTCTGTGGAGCCAAAATGAAATAAATTAGCAAAATATCTTACCATATACTTTGTAAATTTGAAATATATCTGAATATGTAAAATGAAATAAAAAACAGAAAAATGGTTGGCACTCCTTTGAAAACCCAAGAAACCTTCACCCTTTGGTGATTTGAGAATTTACTTATGAGTTTATCAACTGTACTTTTAATAGATATTTTACAATATATTTTCCTAAGAAAACCCTAATACTTTATGTTATGTTAGGCATTATGAAGATAACTTCATAAGTATTCCTCCATCAAACATAAATAAAATTCACAACTCATATGTTCTTCCAGATTCACAGAGATATATGACCTCAAATCTACTAATATGCTATGAGGAATTCTGTGGGAAAAGCTCTAGAATAGCTATTCTTCATACATCACTCAAATTTTTATACATATATACATAGAGAATTATCCATTAAAGACAATTAACGAGAATTTGGAAGGTGTTATATTGGTAACGTGCTCACTTTGCACACATGGAGACCTGAACTGATCCCAGAATCAAGATAAAAATATGGGGAAGGTGATAAATGCACTGAAGAGATGGGGACAAGAGAATTGCGGCAGCTCTCTGTTCATCCAGAATAGTAAAATCACTGACCTTCAGCTTCCCATGTGTACACTATCTCCAAAATAAAAGGTAGCTAGTACATGAAGAACAACAGTAGAAGTTTTCCTTTGGCCAGAACAAGCATACATACACAATTGCACTCACACACACATACAAACATCACATACATACATGCACATGGCAAGAGACACATAAAGAGATTCACCCTCACACAAAAAAATTAGTAGTGAAAGTTCAGTTTCTGTACAACATACAATTCAAGTCTATCTAGAAAGAACTGAAAAATCTCTTTCCTGTTACTCAGAGTTTAAAGGGAATTATTAGCACATCACATCGTGCATGCAACCAGATACAGAAAGCTTTAATATGCTAATTTATGTACAGTTGACTGTGTTACTACGTAAATATCATTAAATTTGCAGCAGCTAAGGTTTTATTTGGAAAGTCTGAGCTGATTATGTGGTACCAAGGATCATCTAACACACTTGAAAAAAGTATAAATAGTGGTACTGTTTATTCCCAAGTTGGTATTCCCCAAAATTAATGTTTTTAAAAATATCACTAGAGATGGTTTCCTAGTTAGAGGATAATAAATTTAAATAGACATATATTCACTCTATTGGTCATATATAAAGCCCCCAAAATATAAACTACAAAGAAAGGAGCCCAATTATCTGTAGCGCATGTAGAAGATTACTTGTGTTCTAAAGTCAAAAATGTGTACATTAGTGTTTCCTTAGCCTATCATTCTATCCCAAGTTAAATAATATATGTAAATATATGTTTCTGAAAATCAAGTATAAAGCAATATTTAATATCCCAGCTAAATATTTCTGTTTCTAATTGTTGCATCTTGGTTGAATCCAGAGCCTAACAACTGTGTTCTGCACACGGACATGCTTGAAACTCACATCATTTGTGTTTGGATTTCTCTGATGTCTAATGTGTGACAACCATGTCCATAGTCTAGCCTTTGCTCTATGTCACATAATATGATGTAATAATAATTATCAAAAATAATGTACATTCACAGATGTGAAAACCTATACAATCTCTTAAAAAGTAATGGGCAATCCCTTAACAAACAATGAGCATGCAGGGAACATTTGTTAATTACTGAATGCATTCTATCAAGAATATATAATAATCAAATATAATCTATATTGAAATTTCTCTTCTTTTGTCCTTATTTCTCACATATACATACACTCTGGAAAAGGGATTATAAAAGTCTTCCTGAAAAGAATACAGTTAGATAAAATACAAGGGACAAGCTTCATCTGATAGACTAATCTTTAAGCCAACCTGAAAATTGCTTTAAAAAGAGAGAGAAATAACACCAGTCAGCACATAGAGGTGAAAAACTGTAAGCTTCAGAGGCAGATGCAAACGTCTTGGTACATACCATAAGCCTGAGAGAACTTGGAGCCGTTCAAGAGAATCCTCCCTTAAATATTTGCAGAAGATGAGAAGGAACAATTACATATTTCCCTCAGGAATGACTTTGGGGAAGTGTATCTCTAGAGCAAAAGCTAAATCATTATTTTTCATTACTTTAACACAGGATTACCCTACTTACAAGGTTCTGCTGTTTTATAAATGGATAAGTGCCTGGGAAATTAATAAATAATAGATGACTGTGTGGATCTTAGTGCTAGAGGTTGCAAGGACCAGGATCACAGAGCTGCATTTAGCTATGGTCCATGAATGAAGAAGAATATCCAGGGAGAAACCAAAAATTTCTTCTACAATTATCACCTCCTAAACCCTCCGAAGTATAATATTTTAATTGTAATATAATTCCATCATTTCCTCCTTTCCCTTTCCTCTCTCCAACCCCTAAGATGTAACCCCTGTTGATCTCCCTCAAATCCATGACCTTTTAAACTATTGTTACATACACACACACTCTCTATCACACACACACACATACATTTATATATTGCAAAATATATTAATATGACCTGCTCTGTTCATATAATACTATTTGCTTATATATAACCTCCAGGCTGACCACTTGATATCGGATAATCATCAGGTTTGCTCTTCCCTAGACAACACCTTTTGTGTCTGAACTAAAGGAGGGTATTTCTGAATGTACTAAAATGAGCAGGTCTGGAGAGGGACTATGTTTGAGTCCTTTGTATAAATTGCTAGACAGCTCAATTAAGACGATCAGTCACACAGGCTGTGGAAATTAATCACACATTTTGTTATATTAATATCACATTTTTTCAAATGCTTAGAGATCATCATGCAATATAACATGCATAACAGTCATAGAGTGCTGGATAATACAATGTGATAACAGTACAAATCCTGGTACCAGTGATATTTGAAAGTGTGACCTTGAACAAGGCACTGGCTCGCTTAAATTGTTTCTCCTCTATAAAACAATGGCACTAACAATTTCTTAGGTTAAAGTTGAACAATTGCCTAAATTAAACTAAATGTACATGTTAAACACTGTATTTACTTCAGTAATCATATTATTATAAATAAAACTATTATTTTTGTTTATATGAGGGTACATGAAACAAACTATTGTTTCCCTACTGTTCTACACAGTATTTTTAGTCACAGAGGATAAGTATTGGTAAATCTTTCAATAGAAAAATCCTGTGTCACAGACTGTAAGTTCTTTTTCTTAATAAAATATGAATACCGTAAGAAACTATCCCAATTTCAAATAAATTATTTCTCCCTGTTTAATTGTTTTTATTGAGCTATACATTTTTTCCAGTCCTCTCTCTTCTTCTATTTTTTTCCTTCTACTATCCCCCATAATCTCCACACTCTCAATTTACTCAGGAGATCTTATATTTTTCACCTTCCAATGTAAATACATGTATGGCTCTATTAGGGTCCTCTTTGTTATCTAGGTTCTCTGGTTTGAGAATTGTAGGCTGGTTTTTCTTTGCTCTATGTCTAAAAGCCAGTTATGAGTGAATACATATATTATTTGTCTTTCTGGGTCTGGGCTATCTCACTCAGTATGTTTTTTTTCTAGACCCATCCATTTGCTTGCAAATTTCAAGATGTCATTTTTTTTATCACTGTGCAGTACTCTATTGTGTAAATGTACCACGTTTTCCTTATCTATTATTTGGTTGAGGGGTATCTAGGTTGTTTCCAGGTCCTGACGGTTACAAATAATGCTGCTATAAACATAGTTAATCACATGTCCTTGTGGTATGATTGAGTGCCTTTTGGGTATACACCCAAATAAGATTCTTTATTACTCAATGGTAATAAAACATATTCACAGCAAACAGAGGAGAAGCACACATCAATGTGAATATTGAAGGCTGAAAAAGTCAGAAATATCTTCTTTCAGAGAACTTGAAGCACAAGGAAATAATATTCTTTTTTTGCTTTATAAATGTATTTATTTATTTTTGTCTCTCAGTAAAGAATCTATTTATATAACTTTTATTTTTGAAATTATAATTATGTAATTATAGTCTCCCTTCTCTCCCTTCAAACACTTAATATTCCCCTCCTTTATCACTCTTAAATTCATATTCTGATTTTTATTAGTAATTTTTTTTATAAAGAACACAAGAAACTGTACATGAAAATTCTAATTAACCCAATTATAAAATGGGGTACTGAACTGAAAAGAGAATTATCAGCAGAGGAAGTTGAAATGGCCAAAAGACACTAAAGTTCATGTTCAAACTCCTTAGTGATCAGGGAAAAGCAAATCAAAACAACTTTGAGATACCATCTTACACCTGTCAGAATGGCTGAAATTAAAAACACCAATGATAGCCTATGCTGGAGAGGATGTGGAGTAAGGGGAACACTCATCCATTGTTGGTGGGAATGCAATCTTGTGCAGCCACTGTGGAAATCAGTGTGGCAGTTTCTCAGGAAACTGGGAGTCAACCTCCCTCAGGACCCAGCAATTCCACTCTTGGGAATATAACCAAGAGATGCCCTATCACACCGCAAAAGCATTTGTTCAACTATGTTCATAGCAGCATTATTTGTAATAACCAGAAACTGGAAACAACCTAGATGCCCCTCAATGAGAGAATGGATAAAGAAAGTGTGGAATACATACACATTAGAGTACTACTCAGCAGTAAAAAATAATGACATTTTGAATTTTGCATGTAAATGGATGGAAATAGAAAACACTATCCTGAGTGAGATAACCCAGACCCCAAAAGATGAATATGGTATGTACTCACTCATTAGTGGATTCTAGCCATAAACATAGGACATTAGGCCTATAGTTGACAAGCCTCGAGAAGCCAAATAACAAGGTCAACCCAAAGATAAACATATATAGATCCTCTTGGAAATTGGAAGCAAACAAGATTGCCGGGCAAAAGTTGGGAGCATGGGGGAAAGAATATTCTTCAAGACTTGTTAGGGTAATCACTTTATTTCAGACACAGCATACACATCCAGAGTGGTATAAGAGTAGACTGATCATTTTGCTTCAAACAATATGATTGTTGAACAGAAAACAATACTAACAAATAGAATTCTGATCATTCAAATGTCCAAGGAGTGTGTTGTGATATTTAACTCCATTTGTATTCAAATATACTTAAATTATAAAAGTCATAAAAACTTCTAACTTTCAAACATTGATTTAGTTTTTATCATCTGAAGTAAGGCTATATCTGAAGAAAGGTAAGCCCTAAGATAATGTAGATAGTTTTTAAATTTATTTATTTATTTATTAAAAATTTCCACCTCCTCCCTGCCTCCCTTTTCCCTCTCCTGCCCCACCCCTCCTACCCTACTTCCCCCTCCCTACCTCCCTCTTCCTCTCTAGTCCTAAGAGCAGTCAGGGTTCCCTGCCCTGTGGGAAGTCCAAGGTCCTCTCCCCTCCATCCAGGTCTATAAAGGTCAATTGGGAGCTGCATTCAGGAAAGGCTTTTCTTTTCCTTTCTTCTGCAGAGTGCATCTTAATGATGACAATAAGAATGAATATTTAAGAGAAATACTGACCTCTGAGAGAAGAGTAGCATCGTCTTCTGATTTGCTCACTGCCAAGATGTGTTGTCTTAAAGAGTCTTAAACACTGCTGGGTCCATCACAGACTGTAATCCTTAAATGTGTAACCAGAATAAACTTTCTGACATTATGAATTGATGACTTCAGATATCGTATGCAGAAACGAAGACAAAACAAGCACATCCATACATGTCAGCTATTTAGGGATTGCCTCACTGTCTCCCAGGCCCAGAGTGATTTTGGACCTCTTACCAGGAGCCTTGAGGTTCTCAGGTCATTCTCTACAGGGCCACCATGCCAACCTCTGCTCTCTCTCTCTGTTGCCCTTGTCAGTATCTGAGATTTTTCTTAACCAGGTTTGCTTCTGTGTCTACCTGTCAGATTTACAAATTCAGCAATGGACTCTTTCTGTTTTGTTCATTGAAGAAATTTGTCATATGCTGCATCAAAATAAATATAAATTGAAGGATGAAATTCTTTTAAATTTCATTTTCATTTAGTTGGATAGTTCCACTATTTCCTTCCCTTCTCCCTCCAAATGCTCCCAGACCTTTCCTAACCCACTCGCAAATTCACGACCTCTTTTTATATAAATGTAATTATTTAATCACTATTGTTACATGTATGCATATATAAATGAATAAATATATAAATACCGGCTGCTGGGCCGGGCGGTGGTGGCGCACGCCTTTAATCCCAGCACTCGGGAGGCAGAGGCAGGCGGATCTCTGTGAGTTCGAGGCCAGCCTGGTCTACAAGAGTTAGTTCCAGGACAGGCACCAAAAACTACAGAGAAACCCTGTCTCAAAAAATCAAAAATAAATAAATAAATAAATAAATAAATAAATAAATAAATAAATACCGGCTGCTGAGTTGATTTAGTGTTGTGTGTTCAGGGTTGATCCTTGGTATTGACAAACCAATTCTGGGCTCATCCTGGGAAATAATTCTACTTTTCTCAGTAGTCACTACAGGAAATTCTTTAGGCCAATAGTAGAAGTCACTTTCTTCAGATTAACAGCTTGACAAAAAGCATATAAAGCATACACCTAAAAGGTGTAAATGACTGATTACCCATTGTGTTGAAATTTGTAATAGAAATTTTATAGTTCAGTGGAAACTTGGGATAAAGTACTTACAAAGATAAAACAACCAACTAAAAACAATTTTTATATTCGTGAGGATCAAATTATACAAGAATTGAAATTTTACATTTGCATTTTAGAAAAGAATGAAACTTGTGCAATCTCTTGTTCCCTATTGTCTTGCCATGCTTTAATCTCCTGTCAGTATTATTTCTTGCAACTTAAAAAAAATACCTAGGAAAACTGCCAAGAGTGCAAACAAAAAATTGGTTCTTTTTCAGAAAAGTGATTTTTTCCTTGACAGTTTTTTGCTTATTGCTTCTTTCACATCTTTGTTCCTAAGGCTGTAAATCATAGGGTTCAACATGGGAATGACTGTGGTATAGAACACAGCGACCATCTTGCCTTGTTCCACAGATTCTTTCAATGTGGGTCTGAGATACATGAAAAAGAGAGTTGCATAGAATATTATAACAGCTGTCAGATGGGAACCGCAAGTGGAGAAAGCTTTGTGCTTGCCTTCTGTCGAGCTGATCCTCAGGATAGCAGGGAAAATATACAGGTAGGAAGTGAGAATGATGAGTAAGGAGAAAGAGAGGTTGAATCCAGCCACAACAAACATAGAGGTTTCTTTGTGGTAGGTGTCCGAGCATGCCAACTTAATCAGTGGTGGGTCAGCACAGTAGAAGTGATTGATTTTGTTGTGGCCACAGAAAGCCAGATTATAAGTCCACATGGTCTCCATCAGACCAGTGAGCGCCCCATACATGTAAGACACTGTGATAAGGGATGTGCATACACTCTGGGACATCTTGCTCCCATAAAGCAGAGGGTTGCAGATGGCCATGTACCGATCAAAGGTCATCAGAGCCAGGATGTAAATCTCAACATGGACCAAGGCAATGAAGAGGTAACACTGGACCAAGCATACAGGGTAGGAAATAGTTGTCTTTTCCAAAAGGAAAATCTGAAGCATTTTAGGAGTCACATTGGAGGAGAAGCACAGATCCACAAAGGATAAATGGCTCAGGAAAAAGTACATGGGAGTGTGAAGCCTGGCATTGGTCTGGATGAGTACAATCATGCCCAGGTTTCCTGCCACCGTGGCCACATACACCACCAGAAACACCACAAAAAAGAGGATCTGAAGCTCCACACGGCTGGTAAGTCCCAAGAGGATAAACTCTGTCACAGAGGTGAAGTTTCTCTTCATGACGGCCTGCAAGGGGAAATGGGAAGTTTGTCAGAATTGACAGGCCATAAAGGGGCAACATTTGAATAGTTCTGCCTCCTGTGCTGACCAACCGCTGACTAAGTCGGCTTGCTCTGAGACTTACTGCACGGAAACCTCCACGTTCCCTGTGGCTGGCTTCATGCTCTCATGCTCACCATCTTGACTTCCTGCCTGCGTGTTTTCCCTCATCTGCTCAGGACCAGCTCCACAGAAATGCCTTCATTGTCCTTTCGCATTTTTCTTCTCTTTGACTATCACCTGCTTTTCCTATCACAGTAGACTCCAAATTATTTTAGACATACATTGACTACTGAGTCTCAATCTGATAGTCTATTCTCTTAATTGCTTTTATTTATCTCTAGATATAAACATTCTTAGTGAAAGTTATAATTCTTACTTAACTCTATTGCTGTGCTTTATATTTTAGCTTTAAATTTTATATCAATTTCTAGCTGCAAGATTTTTCCACTCATTGGAAATAGAAAAATGAATCTTGACATTTATGAAATTTAGTTTTCCAGATAATTTTACTCAAAGTATGAATGACAGTAAGACATTGCCTGATAGCATTGATTCTAGACCAAGACATGTAAAACTTTTATATTGTGTGCATAAAGCTTCCAAATGATAACCTAAAATAATCTTAAGTTTTTATAAAGTGTAAAAAGTCAATATGTTATATTTTCTAATTAGAGAAAATGTTTTTTAAAATAAAAAAATTAATTATAAATCCTACATTAATGTATTGGAAAGCTTTATAGCATTTTTTTTAGTCAATTCAGCAAATAATTCAGGCTAATTATTCAAATATAAGACCTGGATTGGGATATAAATGAGACCTAGTTAAGGATGCTTGTCTACATTTGGGAACACAGATGTCTATCAATTACTCAGATCATAGACTGGAATTTCAGGGTTTGGAATAAACATTCAATTTCACCCCATAGTCATGTACATCTTGCTTAACAAAGTAAAAGCTAATCTTAAAGAATAATTCTTGGGCAAAAGCAAACAAGACTCAAACAAGCAAAATAGAAAATAAGCAAACAGAAAAATCAAATGACAATTCTCTGTTTTTATTTATTCTCAATCTAGATTTACTACTGAGATCCTACTAAAAGGATGAAGCTTGCTGCAAAATTTTAATCCACTCCTCTGTAACACAGGTTAAGATATTTTCCTGCCTTTCTCTGGCTATAATGGAGATATGGTCTTGATTCATCCTCAAATATAAGGCCAAGGGAGACTCTTTAGAGAGGAGAGAAATACAAAATGTCCCCAAATACAGATACACAGAATACTACAAAATGATGGAAAACAGGTGAAATATGTGTATCTTGAGTGTATGGTGTACATATATGTGTGTGCATGTATGTGTGTGTTTATTTGATGCAATAAGAATAAGTGTTTAAACTGAAATACTGGAAACATTATTCTGTAAATCCCCACCTACACATGAACTTCAGAGACTCTTCACTTAATGTTATTTAAAAATAAATACACAGGTTCATCAATCTTCTTATTTCCTCTTATAACTATTTCATTCCTATTTCTTATCTCTACCTATTTTTTTCTCTGAAATGACTTCTGCAAACTACTGTAATCTTTTCCATAGAATTCTGAGCTGGTCATCTATTCCTAGTTCCTATTCTTGCCTCCAGGCACATTTTTGTTTGAGTACACTTTGACGTTTTAAAACTAAGAAATGTCTACATAATGAAACCATCATCTTTATGACACTAAGTTTTCCCCTCTATCTTTGCCAATTATTCTGAAAACTTACCTGCGCATTGTGTAGTGTATATATGCACACAGATGGAACTTGTAAATATACATGTGTCCACATGTGCAGACACATAACGTACAGGTTTAAATTGTTACACTGTGTTTTCAAGTCTGTTTATGAAGTTTGGAAAGTAGAATGATTTTACAAAGGCTTGTTGGTGTGTTTTGAGACTGCCCAAAACTTTAAACATCATTCTGCTCTAAATATGTGCAGCAGCCACAATTCTCCATTCATCTCACAAACTCAAATCATTTTAGGAATGACAAACATTTTACCAAAGTCATAAGTGTGATATGTAGTATCGGTAAAGTTTGTAACACATTTATAAGAATCTAATTTCCTTCTCTTACATTGTTGTTGAAGGCTTTTAATACTTTACAAAATATTTGAAGTTCTGGTAGTGTGTAAAGTATACAAAACCCTTACAGGGATTTTTTGTTGTTGTTTTCTCTCTCTCTCTCTCTCTCTTTCTCTCTCTTTCTCCTCTCTCTCTATATATATCTCTCTCCTCTCTCTTTTTCTCAAGCTCTAAGAGTAAAAGATTAGAAAGATAAATATAGATATAGAGATAGATAGATAGATAGATAGATAGATAGATAGATAGATAGATAAAAATTTTATTGCTGCATCGATTTTGTTGTTTGCTTTCTTTTTAGAAATGGTCTCTTTATATAATGCAGGCTCGCCTTGAACTTATAATCTTCTCCTTGTCATGTGACTGCTTTTTTAATATTTATAACACACTGTCTCAGATATTTAGTTTTGGTACTATACATACACATAGATAAGCAGAAATAAATATGATTATATAGTAATTATTTAGCCATATATTAGTTCTATGAATAAATCCTTGTATTACATGAAAAACAAAATAATAGCAAAAACTCATGAAGTAGCACTTTGACTATTTTCTAACAACTTACCTGTAAAAACCTATGGAAGTAGGAAAAGCAAAAGAGCCTTCAAGACTAAAATCTGAGGAATATGTTTGCTTATATTTATAAAGTAGAGTTCTTTTCACTACAACATTAAAAATAGAAAAAAACTGAAGTCATTAATCCCTCCAATTAAAAGTCCCAGAAGATAACTCAGGTAGCTTTAACCTGGGGATTAGGAAGAACCAAATCATCTCTTCAGGGATTTCATCTGCCTTGGTTAGGAACTTATGACCCTGTAGGAGCTGGCATTGTATCATCAAACAACCGGCATTAATGCAGGGAGCATGTTACTTTCAAAATTACCATTGTGAGGAAATTTTAGCTTTTTAGTTTTGTTTGCTTATTTTATTCTGCTAAGTGTTTGGAAAAATGTAAGAACAAGGGAATGAAACTGGAGAAATTTGAAACAAGTTCAATTCTTCATGTTTAACTGAGGAAACTTCTTTAACTCATTGTTTTTCTAAACTGTTATATCTGATTCATTATCATTGAATTTCACAGATGTTATGTGTTCTTGACATATATGTCTATTAAAGCAGCTTAATTTCATAATAAGCATACTTAACCTTCGTTCAAGACTAACATTGATACTCATTAAAGGTCTTATATCCATCTTAAAACCATTGACACAAAAGTGCTAAGCTATGGAAAAATATCTATTTCTTTTCTATTGCAAAAGCTAGTAGATGCACTGGGTGGAAAAGAAAAGTCTGCAGGACTATGTTAGTTCATTCCATTTCATAAGTAAATATCCACTAAAATGAATAAAAACATTGCACATTTACCTCAAGATAAATCAAGGAAATAAAGAAAGTGTTTTCACCACTGAGTATTTCTGATTTTCTAAGTCAGTGGTTCTCAGTCATTTGGTTGTGACCCATTTTGGGGTTGAGTGACCCTTTCACAGGTTGACCTAAGACCATTGGCATATCAGATACCTACATTTATAATAGTAACAAAAATCCCGGTTATAAAGTGGCAACGAAAATAATTTTACGGTTGGATGTCATCAGAGCATGGGGAACTGAATTATTGAGCCGTAGCTTTAGGAAGGTTGAAAATGACTGCTCTAAGCTGTACTTCTAGGTTCCCACATTTAAAGTCTAATAATACATATGGTCATAGATTCCTTGAAAGTTTCAGCTCAAAACCACGCAGATATCTATGTCTAGAATGTATGGAAATATTAAGCTGAAGTTATTGGGACTCCTTTGAAAACTTAGTGGAAGGAAAGAACTAGAGATCTTGGAAAAGAATAAAAAATGGATGAGTACTTAGGGTGGGGTTTCATATGCTAGAAGGAAGGTAGTTGATAGCCTGCAGTCATTGCTTCCCTTCCTGGAAACAAAATCTTCTCTCTCTACAGAAGTCTTTGACCAGTCAAGTCTGAAAAAAAAAATCTCAAAAAACATTATCCTCTTATTATTGCTTAGATTAAGATGTGTTTGTGATTTCTCATTTATGCCAAACAAGTCAAGAGAAAATATATACGTGTACTATTCCATGCCCTTCTTATCTCATTCTGCCTTAGTCATGACCCAAGTGAAGACCCTAAGCAATAGAGGAGAGGGTCCCTGAAATAGCCTTGCCCTGTAGTCAGACTAATGAGTATCTTAAATGTCACCATAGAATCTTCATCACAACTGATGGAAACAGACACAGAGACCTGCATATGAGGACTGGACTGAGCTCCCAGAGTCCAGTTGAAGAGTCAGAGGAGTGAGAATGAGCACAAAGAGAAAAATCATTTCTCTAGGGAGGGTATCACAAATCGTAGGATTCTCATGCTCCAGCGGATCTCTTGACCCACGCACATATGGGCATCTCTAGCTGAACTTAGTACTAATAAAAATAAGTGGAGATGTAAGGGAATAAGTTTTTCAGAAAACATGAAAGAAATTAGAGTTGTAATATAGATATAGAAATGATCATATGTGGTTGTTCACATTATGAAAATTTTCAAAAATAAAGAACAATATTAGAAGGATTCATTTTTTTCTCTTGAAAATTTTTTTCTCAAGAAATAAAAATTATTTCAGTTTTTTCCGTTATTCTTGCTTCAACAGTGAGAAAGAAAGCCACTGTGTAGATTCTGCCCGCTGCTAAAGATATTGTACCTGTTACACTCTTGCTGTTGTGATCAATTCCCAAGAAATGTACCAAAAGTCTATTACTTCACTTAATGTTTCAGAAAATGCAGTTCACTGTGGCTTTCAGCAGATGCTGTGCAGCAAAGCACGGGCACCAGGAGTTTG